TGCCACCAAACCCATGAACTGCCAATCTGCAATATATTTTTTCCCTTGGGTTTAGATACACAAATTGGAAAAAGGCCCCTGTCCATCAGCTGATCTGATATATTTATTGGATTCTCTTGTGGATTCAGTCTACGGCAGGGGTCTCCAAGCTTTCTGAACAAAGGGTCAGTTTACTGGCCTTGAGGCTTTAGAGGGGCCAGACTGTGGCCAGTGGAATTAGAAAATGCTGTGGTGTCGGTGAGAGCAAACAGTGCTCCGTCATTGGCTTTAATGGAAGGAATATTGCCCTATTGTTGGTATCTGTGGAAGGAATGGTGCCCCATTGTTGGCATTCAAGGTAGGAATAGTTCACCATCATTTGTGTCTATGGGAGAAATGGTGCCCCATCATTGGTATCTGTGGGAAGAATGGTGCCCCATTATTGGTATCTGTGGGAGAAATGATGCCCCTTCATTGGTATCTGTGGGAAGAATGGTGCCCCATTATTGGTGTCTGTGGGAGGAATGGTGCCCCATCATTGGTATCTGTGGGAAGAATGGTGCCTCATTATTGGTGTCTGTGGGGAGCATGGTGCCCCGTTATTGGTGTCTGTGGGAGGAATGGTGCCCCACTATTGGTTTCTGTGGGAGAAATGGTGCCCCATCATAGGTGTTTGTGGGGGAAATGGTGCCCCATTATTGGTGTCTGTGGGAGGAATGGTGTCCCATTATTGGTGTCTGTGGGGGGAATGGTGCCCCATTATTGGTGTCTATGGGAGGAATGGTGCCCCATCATTGGTATCTGTAGGGGGAATGGTGTCCCATTATTGGTGTCTGTGGGGGGAATGGTGTCCCATTATTGGTGTCTGTGGGGGAAATGGTGTCCCATTACTGGTGTCTGTGGGGGGGAATGGTGTCCCATTATTGGTGTCTGTGGGGGGAATGGTGTCCCATTACTGGTATCTGTGGGGGGAATGGTGTCCCATTTTTGGTGTCTATGGGAGGAATGGTGCCCCATTATTGGTATCTGTGGGAATAATGGTATCCCATTATTGGTGTCTATGGAAGGAATTGTGCCCCATCGTTTGTGTTTATTGGAGGAATGGTTCCCCATCATTGGCATCTGTGGGATGAATGGTGCCCCATCATTTGTGTCTATGGGATGAATGGTGCCCCATCGTTTGTGTCTATGGGATGAATGGTGCCTCATTATTGGCCTTGCAGCTTCACAGCTAGTTTCCCACTGAGCATGCGTGAAGCGCGGTGTGCTTTGTGAATGGGCCGCAGTCGTCTGGGACCTGTGAAGTGTCCCAGAGGGCTGTGGGGATGGGGGAACTTCAGCTACGTTCGCCACAGCGAGCTGAGCCGGAAGTGGGAGCCGGTACCTGTCAAAACCAGGTACCCGCTCCCCCCCTTCCCCCAAAAAATTACCAAATGTGGCAGCAGAGGGTGGGAGGACGCAGATAAGTGGAGCTTCCACTTTTGGGTGGAACTTCACTTTAAACATTAAATTATTTCTAATAATTTTCGCTCACCTTCTTCTTAGTCCCACCTTTTTCACTTTTTTGCAAAGTAAACAGTTTAAATTGATTTTATGATATTTTGTGAAATAAGCTGGGAAATCGTGGTCTGATTTCAAAGCCTTTGTCATGTGGGCATTCCAGCAAATAGATGACAAACCATTGTATCGGTATTGCATCCATGTCATTGCCTTGGTAATGTGGACACTTAGGGGTTTATTTGTAGGCTGTTGCAGTCTCCACGGCAGGTGGCACTGGACCACTATGGCAAGGCAGTTGGGAGAGGAAGTGATGGGAAACCGGGTTCCTCTATGACTTCCTCGCAGCCTCGACCCTGGCAGCCATCCTGGGTCAAGCGGAGTCTTTTTAAGACTCTGCCCCCAGGTTTTGGTGCACTTTATGTGCTAGTGTAGGGACAGGCCACCCGTCTGTCAGGGACAGCATTAGCAGCAGAGATAGGTTCCTGGTGGAGTAGGGAAAGAATGGGGTTTACATCCACCTTCTTAGGAAGCTCCCCATTGGGTTGGACTAGCCAGGCCACACTTCCCTCCTTGTGACAAATGCCATCTGCAGCATGGAACCTGCATCCCACTGTTTTCTCACTGAACTGTTGTAAGTGTCTGGGTCAGGGAAGCTTCCCCGCCAGGCCTGGTTGTACTGTTTTTACTAATTCTGCAATACATCATTTTTGGTAAATCGGGACTTTCTGCACACCACACCACGCTCCACCAACCCAACATATTTGTGTTTTTTTTAACTCTTTATTTAAACATTTTGCAATATACAACGGTTGTTCTAGAACAATAGTACAAGTCGTGTAAAAGCACCACCTATACATGTTACTGATGTCTTAGGGGTCTATTTATATAAAAAAAATTAAAAAGGGAATGCCACAACTGTCACAAATAATCACCATAATGTGTCTAATATGGGGGGTTTTTTTTGCATGATCATTAGTTTGATCTAGTGGCCATATTGTACTATTTCCCTGCAATGCCTCAATCAGGAAAATACAGTATTATGGCCACTGGATGGAGCTGATAAACACAATAGACACATTATGGTGATTATTCGTGATGTAGCCCAGTGCTGGTCAACCTACCTATGCCATTGCAAGACATTCATAATAAGAATTGTGGTGACCTAATGCCCCCCTCTGGTGTTTAGTTGTAATAGTGACTATGTGTTCAGGGGCACCAAGAAAGGGAGGAGGATCCAACAAGCAGGGGATTGTGGGACATGTAGTCCAGAAGGCTAAGACTTGCAAGGAGCTGATGCTGCTGTGGACTACAGGTTCCAATTAGCTGGAGGAGAAGTGAATGCTGGGAGAGGATACTGTATATCAGCTTCCGAAGAATGCTCTACCTCTTGGGGCTATGGGCTGAAGCCGGGACCCGGTGAGAGTTGAGTAGACCGTGCAGTCCGGAAAGTGTAGAGAGTTTTTGGCATGCGAGCTACAGATTGGCCAGCAGACCACTTGTTCACAGCCTCCTGTTGGCAGAAGTGACTGATCCAAGACGCGAGCCTCATCGCCGTCTCAGCTACAGCAGAATCCCAGTGTCACAAGGTGCTAGGCCGAGCATGCCACGCTGGTTGCAGATTCTGCAGGAGCTTTCCAGGACATCCAGGATCCCTTGAGCCTTGGTATCATCAGGATTGTTCAGCGGGTTAAAGCCCACACTGTGTACACTCTTCAATAAGGGACACTATGCAGACATCTTTTATACCCCACACCTGCTCACAAGTTTGTGATCCTTTCCTGGAATTATCTATGCCAAAATATCTACGATTGCTGGTTGCCATTGCACAGCAATCTTTTCTGGCCCCTACTGAGCTAGCTGAAGACCTAGGATATTCTTTCCACCAAGACTCTCTTTGACACACTCCTCAAGCCGAGGATTCAGTGCCTATCCTGGTGCATATGTTAAAGGGGGACTTGGGACTAGAATTGTTCATAGTATAGCTCTTTAATTCAAGTTACATTGTGTGCTGTTTTTCCAGGACCTGTAGCATCAGGACTCTAAGGGAGCAGGATGACACCATAAAGTCTTTCTTTTCCTTTTTATACCTGAAGTCAAAGGCTCCCTACTGAGCATATTTGAAACACTGTTTGACTTATTGTGTTCATACGTGCCAAGTTCACCTGCGCTCACAGTTTGAGTTTAAAAACTCAATTACATTACTGCATTCAAGTGTCTGTGCAGTTGCTTCCTGTGTGTATTATGTCTGAACGCAGGGTGTCAGAGGTGTCAGGTGGCTTTCAAGGTCAGGGCAACCTTTGGGGGCCCATATCTTACAGCGGCCCTCACGAGGGTAGTGCTACAATAGCAACTGTGCAAATGCATCTCTTTTTTTTTATAAGTAGACCTTTTAGTGTTGGCTTTCCATCCGTGAGGTCCTCTGAAGACAACGGGGAGAAGGATGGGTGCACTGCAGCATGGCATATCCACCAACTTCTACAAGCGGCGGTGGTAACTGATGTTGCTGGTGGATGTACAGTAGGAAAGTATCAAAGAAATTCAAAAGGTTTTACTTAAAAAAACTGGAGGGGTGAGTGAATGATGGGGTGGTTAAACAGAGGGGATTAAATTTTTAAACTTTGCTTGGAGCTGAGCTTTAATGTGTACTCACAAAATGACCTAATATAAGCTCATCCTATTTCTTTAAATATATATACAATTTCATATTTTATATTCCAGGAAACCTATCCTGAAAAAAATGTACTGGCTAAACACATTTACGGTCTAACTCATTCTAGACTCTTTCTCTGGCATCAGTCATTGACCCACAAGCATAAAGCCAGTGAAGTCAGAAGTCTCTCCACACAGGTTTCCATTGTTAACATCTTGAACTAGGTACATTTAAGCTGGATAGGAATCACACTGTCATGTAGGTTCTTTAGGACTGTTCTTCACCAGTCTTATGATGGCCTTTTTCACCTCCTGGTTCCTTAGGCTGTAGATAAGAGGATTCATCATTGGGGTCACCACTGCATAGAAGACAGAAGCCACCAAGTCTTGTTTCTTGAGGGCAGTGGAGGATGGATGAAGGTAAGTGCAGAAAACTGTAACATAGAAGATGGTAACACACATGAGATGTGAGGAGCACGTGTTGAACGCTTTCCTCCTGCCAGCTGTAGAGTTTATCCGTAAGACAGAAGAAATGATGAGGGCGTAGGAGACCAGGATGGTTGTAATTGAACTTAAGGTACAAAAACACACAAAGAAAAGGCTGATGATGGTGCAAGTGCGGGTTTCCGAACAGGACAAGTTAACCACCGGAGAGAGGTCACAGAAGAAATGGTCTACAATGTTTGATCGACAGTATTTGAGACTGAAGATGCAACTGGTCTGTGCTGATGACTGCACAAACCCAACAAAAAAGGTGGGAAGCACAAGGCCAAGACATTTCTTCATGGTTATTATTAGGACATAGTGCAGAGGGTGGCAGATAGCAACATATCGGTCATATGCCATGATGGAAAGGACAAAGACCTCCACACTGGCCAGAGCAACATAGAAGTAGAACTGAAGGGCACAACCAACGAATGAGATGAATTTCTTGTCAGACAGGAGATCGGACAACATTTTGGGGGTAACAACTGAGGAGTATAATAGGTCTACCACAGAGAGGTAACTCAAGAAGTAGTACATTGGGGTGTGAAGGCTGGGCGAGATTTGAACAACTGCAATTATTCCAATATTTCCGCATACAGTTATCATGTAAACAAGTAAAAAGAAGATGAAGAGGAAAGGAGCAAATTCTCTGTCATCTGTTAGACCAGAAAGTTCAAACACATCTACTTGCGTCTTGTTGGCGTTGTTCATGGACTTTTTGCTCTCTAATGATTGAAAAAAAAACATATTTGTAGGCAGGTGCTAATACTGTCATATGCTTTTCATTCAAGTTACTCTGTGGCAATGTAAAGGTTAACTTGCTGTGGTGTATCTGCTATTTGGCCTGTTTAGGGTCTTGTATCGGGGGCAGGGGCGAACTGACAACTCATGGGACCCCCGGGCAATAGGGGATCATGGGGCCCCTGTGTCCTTGCCCAAACTCAAAAAAGCCTATGAAAAAGGTACCAGGGGCATCTCATGGGGCCCCCTACTGACCCCAGGCCCTCGGGCAGTGCCCGAGTTTCCAAATGGTCAGTCCGCCCCTGATCGGGGGGTATTTAGGCGTAAAGGGGGGGGGTCTCAGAACTCTTCTTCGGAGATTAGTCATGGGAAGGAAAGAGACTGTACACAGGGATACATTGATTACATAGATTACAGTGAAGCGGGTCACCCCTTGGTGGGACCCTGAGCTGGACTTTTATTATGTTGAACACTGAGAGATGGGGACTATTACAAGATAAAGGTATGAAACACCACAGCAGAGCCCTAAAGAATTCTTCCCAACCTAAGTCCTTGTGCACACGGAACATTTTTACAGCCGCTGTTTTTGGTTTCTGGTGTTTTTTTCTACAACCAGTAAACTCCCCCCAGCATGTTATCCTATGTGTTCATGCACACATAGGCTTTAATCAGCGTTTTTTTTTGCAGGAGCGTTTTCTGGCTGGAAAAAAACCCCAGAAGCCCTCATGCACACGGGACGTTTTGATAATGCTGGTAACGTTAGCTGTGTAAAGTCATGTTAAAAACGTGAGTTTTTTTTTCAGCTTTTTTAAGTTTTTTTGCAAAACGCTAAACGCTAAAAAACGCAAAAAAAATCACGTATTTATTGCAACATTCTACAGCTAATCCTACTGGTGTTTTTATAATGTATAGTGTCAGGAATGGACTTGCCGATAGTGGTGGGACTCACCTGCCTTGTGGGCTGCAGTACCAGGGCTGGCCAGCGGGTGCTCTCAACAACCAGAGGTTCACTTCGGCAATTAGCCATCACCTGGGGCTGATTGCAGGTGGTGTATCTAAGGGATGGCCAGACCTGCAGTCTGTGCCTTGGTGTGTGTTTTTCCATGGGCCCCTGTATCTTGTAACCTGCATTCCTGTTCCTGTTTCTGCCTGACTTGTTGCCACCCTGCCTGATCCTGACCTCTGCTGACTTCTCCTGTTTGATCCCTGGCTTGTGACCCTGACCATTCTCTGCCTGACCCCCTGTACCTACCTGTCCGTTAGTTGCTGTACCCGGCTCGTGACCTGACTACTCTCCGCCTGCTCCTCCTGTACCTACCTGCCTGATAGTTATCGACCCGGCCTGCCTGACTACGTTGTGCTCTATATGTGTATGTACCTGTGTATCTATATCAGTTTAGGTTTGGGTTTGTTTCACCTTGTTGTATGTATTTGTGTTAGCTTGGGGTTTGGTGCACTGCGTTTATATTTGTATTGTTAGTCTTAATAAATTGTCTTATTTATACCATATCTGAAGCCTGCGTTTCCCTGTGTCAGTCCACACACCTCTGGTCATACCCGGAGCCCTGATATATAGTGTGCATGAGGCCTAACGCTGACTGTGTGATAAACTGTGGAGTTGGTATGTCGGTTTTGAAACTACCAGGAAAAGTTTTGTACGTTTGCCAAATCCTACAGTGTATAGGAATGGGGAGCAAAGGGTGTGCCTAATGTTACCTTTCTGAGTAGTGAAGAGAAAGGTAAAGAAGGAGAAGCAGCCAATTCAGGCAGGGAGACTGTGGTGGTCAGGTACAGAGGTTCTGTCAGAGGGGTGGATTGCTAGCGCTATGGTCTACATACAGTCATGTCCAAAAATCTTGCCCCCCCTGCATTTCTGTCAGATAATGCACCAGTTTGCCCACAAAAATTGCTGCAATTACAGATGTTTCAGCATTCTCATGTTTATTTCTTTTGTTTGTATTGGTAGGAAACAAAAAAGTGCAGAAACAAAAAGCCAAATCTGACGCATTTCACGAAAAACCCCAAAAATGGACAAAATTATTGGCACTCTCAATTTAATATTTGGTAGCACACCACTTGGAACAAATAACTGACATCAATGGCTTCCTGTAACCATCAATGAGTTTCTTCCACCTCTACTGGAAATTTGGAGCGCTCTTCTTTTGCCAACTGCTCCAGGTCTCTTAGATCTCACCAGCCTTTTTCAGCATCTAAGCCTAGTAGCTTGTGCTATGTATAATAAGCAGCTCGGTACAATAGACTTCCCCTCTGCTCCAGGTTGTACAGTAGGGAGAGTCGGCTGTATCGCATCTCCACCATTTAGGAGAAGTCTTGTTTTTTTTTCAGTGAATATAAGGCTAACACTGATTGGCCAAGGTAGAGATTGTGATGACATCTGCCCGCCTCTCCATCTTACCTAATTAAAAGAATCCTGGTATTCCTTGTTGAAAATACAAGGCTTCTCCTAAATGGTGGAGATGTGGTACAACCAGCTCTTTCTATAGTGTGTGTGGCTGTCCTCGATCAATGGAAGTCAACCGTTTGATCAACTTCTGTCAAAGGGAATTAATGAAAAATTTTTATCAGTGGTTTTAGCCAACCGAAATGCTGCTGTAAAAATACAATGTCTTAGCAGTGAATGCTGCTGTCAAAATATAATGTCCCAGTTGGGAAGTGGGAATCTCCATTTACCTTGTTTGTTTGGATGGAGGAATCTTTGAGTGTTTTGTGTTTGGTCAGCATTAGGCTACAGCTATAGTAAACACTATCAATCACTGATAATGGCCAATCATAAATGGACATTATCAATGGTGGACAGGCCACCAAATGCTGCCATTTATAAAAAATTGTGGGTATGCATGACCATTCACTGTCAGTCCTCCATTGTCTTTTGTCTTCTCTATTAAAGACTCCATTGTCTTCTCAGTCACCTCAATACCTCCTTTGCTCCCCCATGCATCCTCTGTTCCTTCCAGGCTTCATCCAGTCCTCTGATGCATATAAGATGCAGTCAGTCAGTAGCATAAACACAACAGTTTTTATTTTTCGAAGCCCTTTGTAAAATTGTTAGCACTCCCTAAAAAGGAGACAGGTAGTGCCCACTTCTCCTGCTGCCTGCGCACTGATCTTTGCTTTATTGAAGAGATAGAGCTGCTTGAAGACTCCTCAGAAGCTAACACTTACCTACACCAAAAAATGAGATATCTTATGCTTCAGGAAGGCAGACCGTGGCACAGGAATTGGGGAACTCAGAAGAACTAAATAATTCTGGTGATAAAAGTCATCTTAATTGCGGAAATACTTCCCAACCAAGAACCAATGGGAAAAATTACACCTCCTCAGGTCATCCATCTATACAATGAGGGAAAGAATTTGTTACCATAAAGCGTGTCTAAACCCAAGAACAAACATTTTCAATAACTAAAGAAAGTTCAAAATAGATAGACTGGGATCTGTTGGTGGTAATAGTAGGCTATATACATTTTTCTGGCAACCTTGCATCCTTTGATGTCAGAGGTTCTTCAAAAATAAAGCGGCAAGCATTCCACTAAAAACTTTAAAAGTGATGGCAGGAAAAGACAACCTTTCCTTGTTTCCTGCCAAATAGTCCTGGGGGTTGGCTGAGAACTAAGTCATTTCAAATATGCTAGTGGGCTTCAATAGAGGAATTGTAGGGTTTGGATGAAATTTTCCGATATGCCAAATATGCAAAGGTTTGCCAACATGGAAGGCCAGGAGAGGCTGTTGAAGGCCTTTTCTACATTTAGTAGAAGAACAAATAAAGGTTTGTAAGAGTTGCCTGAGTAACGGGTTGGATTTAATAATTTATCTGACCATCCACTTTAATTCCACACATGATTGAAATAGAAATGGCAACACATTAACATCTTGATCATGTGTGGCTTTATTTGCCTCTTTTGACAATACATTTTTGATATGGATCTTCAGCAGACTGCCTACTTTCTTCTACAGTAGGTTATGAGTCCAACTTGATCTTTGTCTACTAGAGAGCCAATAAATTCCCTTATGTAATTTGCCTGAACCAGGGTGAATAATTTGAGGTCTGTATTTTAAAGCCCAAATAAATTCAAGGTGTATCAAAACAAAAGGAGATTCAAATCTTTTAGTTGGTGTTTTTTAGTAGGCAGATACATCCTGGGAACAAAATCCTGTCTTTCAGAAACCTAACGAGAATGGAGGTGCACATGTGCCAATACGCAGGTTGGGAACCTCTGCCAGTAGTCTGCATGGGTACATGCTTTTGAGCGGCAACATGCATGTATTGTGTGGACATCTGCACATACTGGTGCATGTTTGTGCACATCCAATTCTAGAACTGGCCCCAAGCGCCAGTTGGTAATTGCTGGATGATCTTCAGGTAGTCCGCGATCCTTGTTCCTGTGTATCCTGATTCTGATACTCTCATTGCCTGCTATCGACTTGGCTTACCCTTGGACTTCCCTCTGCCTGATTTCTGAACGTGACCTCAGCCCATTGAAAGACCTTGCTTCCATGTGATCTTTTGTGTATGACCCTGGCCTGGCTCCTCTCTACTGTCTCCATTTTTACTGCTTGACCTCAGCCCAGCTCCAGGCCACATCATCCATTCCTTGTCACTTACCTGTGTATAATCTTGGCTCCAGCCAACATCTCTCTTCTACATACTGTACCTGCGCATGACCTCAGCTATGCCTTGAACTTGACACTGCTGTCTTCCAGACCTTCCCCCACAGGTCATGCCTTGCATCATGCCACCATGGGTATAAAGACTGCCAGCTGCAAATCCCCCATAAGACTTATCTGGGACTGCCTAGATGTAGTCCTTGATGACCACCTCCACTGGCAACTATTACCAACCCTGATCAGCAATAGTGCTGCTTTGTGCCTTGCAGGCCCTGTCACCATATCTAGGGGTGTTCAGACCAGAGCCACAAGGGAAGCCCTCCTGTCACTTTACCGTCCAACCAGAT